GGAGCTTGTGCAAGAGCATGGTTTCATCTATGGAGAGAAGGTTAAGTAAGATTTGTAGTCTTTTAACGTGCTAGGGAGTTTCCATTGACAACAACAATTGACAGCAAATTCTTTTATCAGGCAAACTATGTATCAAGGTATATACGAACCAGTAGACAATTTTTACAAAATATTCTTCTGTAAAAGCCTCTTTAGTATAAAATTGACTTTTTATTTTGGTTTTAAAAATACTTGCGTTGTCTAATTAATACAGCCTTTTGCAAAAATTATGAGAATTGCCTAAATATCTAAATATCATAATATCCATATCCATATATTGTCCGGGACACGCGTGTTTGCTAGAATAATTCATTGTTGACATCGAGAAAATGTTCAGAACTACGGATAAGTCTGTCACCAAAAAAAACTAAACTACAAAGACAACGGGACTAAGGGCATCGCGCGGGATTACCCATCATTCACTCGATATTATGATATTTAGATATTTCGACAATTCTCATAATTTTTGCAAAAGGCTGTAAACAGACAAATATAGGAATATGGTGTCATTAATTAGACATTTGTGATACTATTTTTTCTCCTACAACATTTTGCTTTAATTCATCACTTCAGACTCCTTCCACCTTAAAATTTGGAACAAACCATGGTTGCGCAGCAGAGTTTATATATCTGGTCATTAACTAGTTAATCAGTACTTCAATTCTTCTGAGCGAAAAGTATGCCTTGTTGGGTAACACTGAAATAAAAAAAAAGCCACTGAAATAAAAAAAAAGCCAAAAAGCCTTTTTGGATTAATTTTCTCACAGCACATATAATGCTATTTGTAACAGAATCCCTGTGAAAGAAAGCCGTGTCAAAATGGCGGCGAATGTTGCATTCGAGACGACAGACAAGGCTATCAATGCAAGTGTAGGACCGGATTCACTGGAAAGAATTGTGGTGGTACGTCATGATGTGGTTTATTATAAATATAAGAATCCATCTAACCTGAATCTTTTCATCGTGAATACGTTATTTGAAAAAAAAAAGAATGACTTTCTTATCAAAAAAGTGTTTTATGCCCACATTTTAATCCCTTGTGCTCGTTACCATTTCAGATTTTGATGAATGCATCAAAATGTGTATAATTGCAATGCTAACGAACCATGCGATGCAGTGTAAAACATATATCGATAAAATACCTTGCATTCTATGGGAAGTGTTATTGTGAAATGTACACACTAATGTTTTCTAGCCTCTAAAGGTATATAAACTTGTAAAYATGTAAATTTTCAAAACTACGTACCCACAATATGCTTCGAACGCARGTACAGATATCATGTCATCGGCAAATTGCTGGCAACTCACACTTTTCGAATGTTATTATATAAGTCTTTCATGCGTATTATACGTACGAAAAGCGTACATAATCGAAGGCTAGACATTATTCGGGTTCACTATTATCGGATTTTCAAAAATAACTTCTGTTGAATATCGATAAAATGAAGTAAAAGCACGCGAATAACAAAAAACCMATACTTTTTCTTACTCGCTACGTGTTGTTTGCCTCTGGCATACCAAAAATGCATTGCAAAAACGAGGGGCCTGGTTAATGGCAACCTATTCATTGCTTTTCTTAATCGATTATTACGCATGCGCAGCCAAGAAGTGYGATGGCCTCATACCARTTGGAATGGAAAGCGGAAAGATTTCTGACTCAAGCATTACCGTCTCTTCWTATTCATCATTTCTTTGTGATCCCATTGCATGCCATCCAAGTAAGTTACTTGACATTTCCTTAGAACGCTTGGCTCTCACTTTAATAAAAAAWATATATTTCTATCGATCTTATCCAGGGWGGGACTTGCATGCAAAATTCTTATTATGACACAAGCATGACTACTGAAAATTATTCTTTTGTCAATCCTTCCTGTGACCGTGGCAAACCATAGGTTGAGATATCGGTTGAGCAACCATTATAAATCATTAATTCGTTGTCCTAATCTCRCCTCTTGGTCAATCTTTGAAGCATCAAACAGTCCATTGTCGTCGAAAGATGAGAGTTCATAAAGAGACAAAAGCAACGAACTCGAACGACCAGAAGATAAAGAGGATGTCGAGGAACAGCATAAAACAAGCGATCATTGATCATAGGTGCTAACTATGTACTGATATTTGATTTGTTTTTAAGATAAAGGAAGAATCAACAGTGACGCTGCCTGGGCTACAAAAATTTCGAAAGTCGGTGAAAATCTGCAGGTCGTATTTGGTATTAATACCACGATGACCGGTATTGGAACCCAAGGTTATTATCACGATCAGTATTCTGACTTATATGTCACAAGCTATAAAGTACAATACGACACCAAAGTTATTACCCCAGCATCTCCCTTTGCTGAAGCAGGCAAGAATTTTACGGGCAACATTGATAGTAGCAGTATTGTAAAGCACACTTTCAATCCATCTTTTGTTGCCAGATATGTCCGGGTTCTCCCCCAAACATGGCGTACTGGTATTGCACCTAGGATAGAACTGTACGCCAGCTGCTAAGTAAACCATTGATCAATGGCTTGTTCCAGTGTCAAACTTGTCTTTAGCTTGCATGCTTTCATTTATTTTAAACACAATCATTAGTTTTTGTCTCTATTATTAGTTTTTTTTTTTAAAGCTTTGTTGTTTTTAAAAGTTCTGTTCTGAATGTTGTTTTTCAACATTTATATTCAATTCCTAATTAGTATATCTTATCTCCCAATGAGTAATAATCTTCATGATGCTTTACATATTAATGATGACCGCTTTGAGTACATTATATGAACGATTGCACAATTTCAAACACTAAACTGACTGACGTACTCGCAATTGTTGTTTGTGGTCATTTTGGAGTTTGTGTAATAGATATTACATGGTCACATCAGAGAGTAATCTCTATGTCTCGTATACTTTCTCCTTACTGCCCTTCATATCATTCCATTACTGAATAATGAAGATGCAAAAAGGCAAAATGGCTAAGAAATTCTATCAGTCGATAGCTCTATTCGTCCTTCGTAAATATGATCCCAAACATATAAAAGACGTTTAAAAACTTCACTTAAACATCAGCATTAAACACGTCATGTAATTGGTGAATTTTTATTGACTAGCACCCGTAARTCAGGAGGAGCCGACGTCGAGCTCTGTTCGTCTTTAGAAATAGCTGTTCTTGTACGAATGWTTTCATGTGAAMATTTTGAGCTACACTGTTGACAATCTCACAAGTAAATGTGTCGCCCTTCCTTCTTTAGAATAATTTTGTTCCTGGCATTCAGGTTTCCTGTGTAAAAAACTTGATTACGGAAACCAATCAGAATACCCAGGCTGTGTCGGACACGACTCACGTGATTTAGATTTCAACTATATTCCAATCAGATGCCTAGATTTTGTGTCAGTCATCACCATCTGCAATTATTATGGTTAATTTATGGTTCATTAAACAAATAACAGAAATTGTTCAATCTAGGAAGTCTTTGATAGTCATCTACCATTTATATCCCATGTGTTCGATTTTTAGCTCGAAATTGGCTTCTTTTGACAAACAAAACTAACAAGACAAAAGTAGTTTATATTCCAGTGATGAGATGTGGGTTTGCTGCGGTAAGATTTTCAATATTGCGGCTAGAGTGATCGTAATTCAAGCTACAAGGTAAAATTAAAGCACTCTCTAATTCTTTTTCTTTGTGAATTTTGTTTTGAACTATCGCTTTTTATTATATTTTTGAGAAAAACCTGACAAATTTCCGGAAACTAGGTGAACTAGTCTAAATCCACAAACAAAATGACGGCGTTCTCGTACCAAAACAATRGGTAGGAACRCATGCGCAGTGCAAAATCACTCTATCGTTTGTACACAGTACTCAAGGRWKCCATATTTCWTGAAACCTTGAAACTTTCTGGACACAACAGAAAAAGGTACAGAAAAATGATTCYTATTTACTTCGATGAACTGAAGAACCAGCTAGATTAGACGTCTCAAAGACTRACTCCAATGTTAAAAATAAGCAATTTTAGCCTATTTTAATGYCCTGTAGTGTCACATTCAAACATTTGACTAAAGAGATCTTCTCATAATCATTCGAAAAACATTACATCGCCAGTCAATCTACTATGCTTGCAGGGATTTGAGGGATCTGTTTGTATTTTATTTYATTTYCTCCTCTMAAGCAATCACGCAAGAACTGTAAAAATTTACTGCAAAATTTTCTACGCCCCGGAGTAATTCGCATATTTTTCAACTGGAACAACGTATTTGGCCAGGCGAACTAAATAATATTTTTAAGGACGCTCTACCCTATCGGTAGTAGGAATATTTTCAAGGTTTACCTCAACGACTTTTATTTTTACAGACATTCACTGTTTATTTTTATTTTTATTTTTTTTATTTTTTTTTTTTGTACTTTTTCATACTTTTGTGTTTTCATAGATATCTTGTAAACAAATGAAACTAATATTCCGCTTAGATGACTATTAACTTATGCCACATGCAGTCTTAGACTGTGTATTTTTCAATATAACCGTCTTTGGAAAAGTAGACAGCGCCGGACTGTACTACTTTATCGTGAGTTCAACAAACAAAACAATTTAAAGGATCGTAGGAATATATTTAAGGTAAAGTACCCTTATTATAAGTCTAAAACATATACAATAAACGGTAAATTCAGTGAAAATTAGCTTCGTTCAAAAACCTCTTCTTATAGTAAGAGTACTTCACCTTAAATATATTCCTACGATTATGAAAAAATATTCCACGCCCTGGAGTAATTTGAATATTTTCGCTAGAACAAAATAATTGGCCAATTAAACTAGACAACGTTTGTTGGGATGTTCTACCCGACCGGTAGAAGGAATAGTTTCAAGAAATATGTCGCAATTACTTTTGATTTTTACAGACATTCATTCTTAAAAGTTTATATGTTTTTAACTTTTTCAAATTTGTTGTGTTTTCATAGATTTCTAGTAANATATTCTTCTGTAAAAGCCTCTTTAGTATAAAATTGACTTTTTATTTTGGTTTTAAAAATACTTGCGTTGTCTAATTAATACAGCCTTTTGCAAAAATTATGAGAATTGCCTAAATATCTAAATATCATAATATCCATATCCATATATTGTCCGGGACACGCGTGTTTGCTAGAATAATTCATTGTTGACATCGAGAAAATGTTCAGAACTACGGATAAGTCTGTCACCAAAAAAAACTAAACTACAAAGACAACGGGACTAAGGGCATCGCGCGGGATTACCCATCATTCACTCGATATTATGATATTTAGATATTTCGACAATTCTCATAATTTTTGCAAAAGGCTGTAAACAGACAAATATAGGAATATGGTGTCATTAATTAGACATTTGTGATACTATTTTTTCTCCTACAACATTTTGCTTTAATTCATCACTTCAGACTCCTTCCACCTTAAAATTTGGAACAAACCATGGTTGCGCAGCAGAGTTTATATATCTGGTCATTAACTAGTTAATCAGTACTTCAATTCTTCTGAGCGAAAAGTATGCCTTGCTGGGTAACACTGAAATAAAAAAAAGCCAAAAAGCCTTTTTGGATTAATTTTGTCACAGCACATATAATGCTATTTGTAACAGAATCCCTGTGAAAGAAAGCCATGTCAAAATGGCGGCGAGTGCAGCATTCGAGACGACAGACAAGATTACCAATGCAAGTGTAGGACTGGATTCACTGGAAGGAATTGTGGTGGTACGTCATGATGTGGTTTATTATAAATATAGGAATCCATCTAACCTGAATCTTGTCATCGTGAATACGTTATTTGAAAAAAAAAGAATGACTTTCTTATCAAAAGTGTTTTATGCCCACATTTCATTCCCTTGTGCTCGTTACAATTTCAGATTTTGATGAAGGCATTATCCTGTGTATAATTGCAATGCTAACGAACCATGCAATGCAGTGTAAAACATATATCGATAAAATACCTTGCATTCTATGGGAAGTGTTATTGTGAAATGTACACACTAATGATTTCTAGCCTCTAAAGGTAAATAAACTTGTAGATATGCAAATTTTCAAAACTACGTACCCACAATATATGCTTCGAACGCAAGTAAAGATATCATGTCACCGGCAAATTGCTGGAAACTCACACTTTTCGAATTTATTCCTTTTTAAAAATACATGTTATTATATAAGTCTTTCATACGTATTATACGTACGAAAAGCGTACATAATCGAAGGCTAGACATTATTCGGGTGCACTATCATCGGATTTTCAAAAATAACTTCTGTTAAATAGCGATAAAATGAAGTAAAAGCACGCGGATAACAAAAAAACCCTTACTTTTTCTTACTTGCTTCGTGTTATTTGCACCTTGGCATACCAAGAATGCATTGCAACAACGAGGGGCCTGGTTACTGACAACATATTTATTGCTTTTCTTAATCGATTATTACGCATGCGCAGCCAAGAAGTGCGATGGCCTCATACCAATTGGAATGGAAAGCGGAAAGATTTCTGACTCAAGCATTACCGTCTCTTCTTATTCATCATTTCTTTGTGATCCCATTGCATGCCATCCAAGTAAGTTACTTGACATTTCCTTAGAAMGCTTGGCTCTCACTTTAATAAAAAAAATATATTTCTATCGATCTTATCCAGGGAGGGACTTGCATGCAAAATTCTTATTATGACACAAGCATGACTACTGAAAATTATTCTTTTGTCAATCCTTCCTGTGACCGTGGCAAACCATAGGTTGAGATATCGGTTGAGCAACCATTATAAATCATTAATTCGTTGTCCTAATCTCRCCTCTTGGTCAATCTTTGAAGCATCAAACAGTCCATTGTCGTCGAAAGATGAGAGTTCATAAAGAGACAAAAGCAACGAACTCGAACGACCAGAAGATAAAGAGGATGTCGAGGAACAGCATAAAACAAGCGATCATTGATCATAGGTGCTAACTATGTACTGATATTTGATTTGTTTTTAAGATAAAGGAAGAATCAACAGTGACGCTGCCTGGGCTACAAAAATTTCGAAAGTTGGTGAATATCTGCAGGTCGAACTTGGTATTAATACCACGATGACCGGTATTGGAACCCAAGGTTATTATCACGATCAGTATTCTGACTTATATGTCACAAGCTATAAAGTACAATACGACACCAAAGTTATTACCCCAGCATCTCCCTTTGCTGAAGCAGGCAAGAATTTTACGGGCAACATTGATAGTAGCAGTATTGTAAAGCACACTTTCAATCCATCTTTTGTTGCCAGATATGTCCGGGTTCTCCCCCAAACATGGCATACTGGTATTGCACTTAGGATAGAACTGTACGCCGGCTGCTAAGTAAACCATTGATCAATGGCTTGTTCCAGTGTCAAACTTGTCTTTAGCTTGTATGCTTTCATTTATTTTAAACACAATCATTAGTTTTTGTCTCTATTATTAGTTTTTTTTTAAAGCTTTGTTGTTTTTAAAAGTTCTGTTCTGAATGTTGTTTTTCAACATTTATATTCAATTCCTAATTAGTATATCTTATCTGCCAATTAGTAATAATCTTCATGATGCTTTACATATTAATGATGACCGCTTTGAGTACATTATATGAACGATTGCACAATTTCAAACACTAAACTGACTGACGTACTCGCAATTGTTGTTTGTGGTCATTTTGGAGTTTGTGTAATAGATATTACATGGTCACTGCCATCAGAGAGTAATCTCTATGTCTCGTATACTTTCTCCTTACTGCCCTTCATATCATTCCATTACTGAATAATGAAKATGTAAAAAGGCAAAATGGCTAAGAAATTCTATCAGTCGATAGCTCTATTCGTCCTTCGTAAATATGATCCCAAACATATAAAAGACGTTTAAAAACTTCACTTAAACATCAGCATTAAACACGTCATGTAATTGGTGAATTTTTATTGACTAGCACCCGTAAATCAGGAGGAGCCGACGTCGAGCTCTGTTCGTCTTTAGAAATAGCTGTTCTTGTACGAATGATTTCATGTGAAAATTTTGAGCTACACTGTTGACAATCTCACAAGTAAATGTGTCGCCCTTCCTTCTTTAGAATAATTTTGTTCCTGGCATTCAGGTTTCCTGTGTAAAAAACTTGATTACGGAAACCAATCAGAATACCCAGGCTGTGTCGGACACGACTCACGTGATTTAGATTTCAACTATATTCCAATCAGATGCCTAGATTTTGTGTCAGTCATCACCATCTGCAATTATTATGGTTAATTTATGGTTCATTAAACAAATAACAGAAATTGTTCAATCTAGGAAGTCTTTGATAGTCATCTACCATTTATATCCCATGTGTTCGATTTTTAGCTCGAAATTGGCTTCTTTTGACAAACAAAACTAACAAGACAAAAGTAGTTTATATTCCAGTGATGAGATGTGGGTTTGCTGCGGTAAGATTTTCAATATTGCGGCTAGAGTGATCGTAATTCAAGCTACAAGGTAAAATTAAAGCACTCTCTAATTCTTTTTCTTTGTGAATTTTGTTTTGAACTATCGCTTTTTATTATATTTTTGAGAAAAACCTGACAAATTTCCGGAAACTAGGTGAACTAGTCTAAATCCACAAACAAAATGACGGCGTTCTCGTACCAAAACAATRGGTAGGAACRCATGCGCAGTGCAAAATCACTCTATCGTTTGTACACAGTACTCAAGGRWKCCATATTTCWTGAAACCTTGAAACTTTCTGGACACAACAGAAAAAGGTACAGAAAAATGATTCYTATTTACTTCGATGAACTGAAGAACCAGCTAGATTAGACGTCTCAAAGACTRACTCCAATGTTAAAAATAAGCAATTTTAGCCTATTTTAATGTCCTGTAGTGTCACATTCAAACATTTGACTAAAGAGATCTTCTCATAATCATTCGAAAAACATTACATCGCCAGTCAATCTACTATGCTTGCAGGGATTTGAGGGATCTGTTTGTATTTTATTTTATTTTCTCCTCTCAAGCAATCACGCAAGAACTGTAAAAATTTACTGCAAAATTTTCTACGCCCCGGAGTAATTCGCATATTTTTCAACTGGAACAACGTATTTGGCCAGGCGAACTAAATAATATTTTTAAGGACGCTCTACCCTATCGGTAGTAGGAATATTTTCAAGGTTTACCTCAACGACTTTGATTTTTACAGACATTCACTGTTTATTTTTATTTTTTTTATTTTTTTTTTTTTGTACTTTTTCATACTTTTGTGTTTTCATAGATATCTTGTAAACAAATGAAACTAATATTCCGCTTAGATGACTATTAACTTATGCCACATGCAGTCTTAGACTGTGTATTTTTCAATATAACCGTCTTTGGAAAAGTAGACAGCGCCGGACTGTACTACTTTAT